TTTGTATAAATACCACATTTTTTAATCCATTCATCTGTTGGCAGACAAAATAACTATCAAATTGCCAATCAGACTGCTTTTCAAAGAATTTCTTTACTCAAATGGAAGCAAACTGATATCAATGGATGATTCACACCTCACAGGATCTGGTGGGCACCACTAAGGTAGGTACCCATCTCTGACAAGCAGTTTTATTCTTGGCACTGTTTTCCTCTGAATGTTTTAATGATCCTCTCCCTCTACTTAGCTAATAACATCACAAACTGGAATGATTTCAAAAAGGCTGTCAATGAAGAAGACATGGGAACAAACTCATTTTTCCATGTACATTCTTTTTTATGTTTTCTTTTATATCTTCTTCCAAAATGTGAAACCCAGACTCTTGTTGTTGCCCACTGTGCCCACAAGGGACTCTTGTGCCCTCATCTGAACCAGAGACTGTTCCATTGTGGAATGATATTTTTTAATCATTTCTAAGGATATAATTACTTACTTTGAAATTTTTCTATTTTTTATGAGAATTAAGGTGTTTTAAAGGGGAACGAATAAATTATTTTGTCACTAATTTTTTCTAATGGATTTCACCACTTTTTAAAATGTCAAGTGAAAGAAATTTCTATAGAACAAAACAGAATATTACAGAAATTTCTGTGTGACTATCTCTAATATTTGAAAGCATGCCAAACAAGCACTGCCTATGAAGAGAGAAAACAAAATAAATGTCAAGGCTCTGCTGCGGACTACAGGAAACACACAAAAAGTTATGCCTTCATGAAATCTGGAAATAGAATCATTTAGACTATCATAGCTGAGGTCAACCTTCAAAGAGCCTTCTTAGTAGTGCTCTCAATGGTACTGATTCCTAAGAAGTAAAAAGAAAGTACTACACTTGATCTTAGCCAAAAGGCTGAGAAGTGATTAAAAAGAAAGTATTTTACACAAGTGAGGAAAATAACATAATAAAAATAATGTACTAAAGAGGCTAGATAATGTCTTTCACCTAAAATCATCAATAAAAAGAAATTGAATGGACAAGAATGTGTCCATTTTCACTGTGGGAAAATGGATTATGATGTAACATCCAGTACTTATGTTGCTACTTCTGTTAGAAGCTTCTGTGTGGTTGCTGTAAGTTTCCAAAGGTGAGGATGTTCTGCAAGTGCTAACAGCTCTCCTCGCAGCAAGGCAGAAGAACCCATGTATGTCTGTAACATTTCTCCAAGTCAAAATCAGCATTTCTCTCACTATGTTTCACATCCAAAAACATAAACAGACATATGCACATTCTAAGCTCTCACACACAGCTCCAAAGGATCTTGTTAAGAAAAAGCAAACTATTTTCCTCCTCTCTTACTGAGGAGTTTTTAATGAATTTTTAAAAATTCAATTTAAAAATGCCTTTACAGTTCAACTTAAATGAAAGCCTTTATATTGGAGAGCTATTAGAAGGTCAATATATGCAGAAGACAGACCTGGTTGAGAGCCACAAAAAAGGTTGTTATTATCCTATCATGTGAATATCAGAGGAAGAATAACAAAAGACATTGAATGATTTTTTCCCTCTCATTTGGAACTCGTTAGTAAGCTTTCTTTTGTTCCACTGAGAAATGAGAGAAGAAAATATGAAGTTACAGCTAACCCATATGGTCAGCAGGAAAATCCTATTTAATTGCTTTATTGCCAGAAATGTTAAATCACTTCCTGAGGATGCAGTTCAAATGAAACATATGGCAACTATTAGCAAAAGTCTCTAACGAATTTTTAAAAATATGCTTTTTATGGGAGCTTTCTCATAATAACAATCATACTTGTTATTTAAACTGCATATGCAAATATGCACTGGTATGTCAATTCCACAAACGTTTGCTGAACACCTACTCAGTACTGGTTTACATAGTCATCTTGCACAGGAAGTTTCTTTCTAAGTTCAGAAATACACAGAACATTACAGGATTTCAGGACATGGGTGTGAATCTAGCTGTGCTTCTCCTCAGAAGAAAAAGTTCCTGACTAATGACTCCTTCCCAAGGATTCAATATCCAAAAACCATTCCATTTCCAGCTGGCTAGTTTTAATTATTTACTACTTATTCATTTCTTTTGATGCCACACCAGTGACAGTTCTAATCATTGCCATTCCGCATCCCCTGCATGGAACTATTCATTTTTTCATATCTTTGTCAACTAGATTGTGAATTCCATAAAGAGGAAAGTTTTGCTAAGGACTTTTGTAACTAGGGTAATATGAGACATTAAAGTAGTTTTAATTAAAACGTGTCAGCATTTTCTAATTTCTTTAATGCCTTTCATCTCTGGGAATTTTCACAAATTTAATTAATTTACTCATAAATCATTTTCTAGCAAAATAATTCTCCCTCAAATTCAAAGGTAAATCAGCTGAGATCTGTGCAGGTCTTATTATTATGTGATCTTGATTTAAAAGAATAATTATAAATCTAAGGACATTAAACTTTGTCCTTCTTCCACATTGCAGTATGATCACTGCAGTTACTGAAGTGAGATATGGTAGCTGAAACCACGGTGTCCTGAGATTCCAACATAATTTGGCACTGACCATGTGTGATATTTACATTGGACAGAAAAAAGCTAAAATACTTTCAATTCATAACCAAACCCACTGATCATCATCTTTATTACACATTATACATGCTCAGTTATACATCTTGGTAATTACATGAAGTATGCTAACTTGAACTTTAAGGATAGACATTAAATTTATCTTAAATGGCTTACTTAGCTATAAAAAAAGACAGATTATTTAGGTAACTTCTAAATATCCTAAGCAGATATTCATGTACAGATATTTTGTAATTTAAGTCAATGTCTTTTAGTGAAATCTCCCAATTTTTCTCCACTTTATTTCAGAATACAGATCAGTGTAGCCTCAGAGTGAAACACACCAATGTTTATGTCCTGGCTTCTATTACTGACTGTGCAGCTTCATAAAAGTTACTTTAATTTGGGGATTACACAGGGTTGCTCTAAGGATCGAATGACTTTCTGGAGGTCAAAGTTTAAAACTATGCCTTACACTCTCTAAGAATCCAGAAAATATTAGTTATCTTTATAGTGAGGAATTTCTTTCAAGAATATTCTTTAATTGCCTGTCACAAACTTTTATGACTTTGTCAGTCAATGAAAGCACTTCTGTTTTGTTATGTTGTTTGTTTGTGTTTTTTAAGGAGCGAATGTATTTTTTTTAAAAAAAACTCTGATCAAAGGTAAATTCAGGAGCTAGACTTAATTAATTAAATAGATTTAATTCCACGTTAAAATACTTTTCAAAAGAGCCACATAGAAAATTACAAATATTCCTGAAATCATAGGAAAACTTTCTTGTAAAGGAAGGAAATAGCTTTACTGTAGTATTAAATCAGAAGTTCTAGAATAAGGAGGGAAAATTAGGTGATGCAATTCTCAGGGAAAGGATGCTCAGAAAGTGCTGGAAGCTGGTGCAATCTGTTTGATGTCCTGGTCTCTGGGTCTGCTCCTTCACACTGCTGCTTGATACCCTGCATGGCTACATTTCTGACAGGATACAAAATTGATATGAACACTCAAAGAACAAGTGCTGAACAACTAAGTGTAGACTGAGATGAATTCAAAATTGTATTTTCAAAATAGATCGATCTTGCCAAAGCAAACCCCTCCTCTATCCTAATCTAGAGAAAGACCTTTGTCTTATTCAAATAATTGCATCAAAATCCAGATCCCTTAAATTCCAAAAGTGATGATCTCACCAGTAATTATAGCTCATGAAGATAAGGGCACCTTATTAATTATTTTTCAAAATGAAGATGGGTGTTATTTTCTTGGGCTCATCTACAGTGGAGATGTAGTTGGACCTCTCTGTCTCCTCCTCTTCCTCCTCTTTTCTTTCTCTCTCTCTCTCTCTCTCACACAAACACATGCACACACACAGACACACATAAATGCACGTTCACAACAAAATTACCCATTTGAGCATGCTTTTCTTGCCCCAACTTTGGATTTTTGTCTGCTGAAGAAAGACAGAGACCTTTTCTGTGGTCAGATCTATTCTGTGATGAGTGATTGTAGGGTAGAAAGCCTCAAATCCCAATGGGTCAGACAGATTTATAAAAAATTAAAAAAAGTACAAGTTAATGTCCCTGTGCTAATTTTATTTTTGTCACATGAATAACTGAAGTGAGTGAGAACCAGAAATTGAAATTGCTTGATTTGATTCAGGGTAATCTACAAAGACTAAACCTAGATAGTTATACTTCTTAAGCCTTTTGAGACATCTCATTCTCAACCTAATTCTTTTTAAATAATGATAAAACACAGGGAATGGAAATTCTAGACCTTTCAGTGTATTCGACAACTTGGCCACTGCCCATAGGAATAAACAGTAAGGGCTGCTATCTTCCTCCTGGAGCACTCGAATGCTTTATAGATAGAGTCTATTACATTTTGTTCTTTCAGCAATTTTGTAAAGTAGATGTGATTGTCTTTGCTTTTTATAAGAATCTCAGCTTTGGTAAGTAAGATAGCTTATTCATTTCAAGTGCATACAGAAAATTGGGGACAGGACAGAAATTTGAAATGCCTGGAAATTGACCTAAGAATAAATGTTTGTTCTCTTTCTCTCTCTCCCTCTCTCTCTATCTCTCTCTCTCTCTCTCTCTCTCTTTCTCCTAGAAATAAGACAAAACTTAACTGCAGAAATTCTGCCCAAACTGAAAGAATTTTAAGTGTCACTGTCAGTGTAGTTTAAAGATAATATGAGCATATGTTAGATTAAATCTATCCTCAGACAAGAAAATAATTACATGATAATTTGCAGTTATCAAAGCCAGACATGATGACTTGCCTGATAATTCTACAATGCTTATTTTTTACTGTCAGGTCTTGTTCAATTTTTGTTACATGTATGATACATTCTTTTGTTCCAAATAATGTTATTTAACGTTTATTTCTAATAAAACCATAACTTTATGCTTCTCTTTTCTTTTTCAGGTTATTCCAGGCATTTCAGAGAAGGAAAAGGCTGGTAAGTTGACATTTTGTTTTCTCTCCTAGCAATTTAAGAATAAAATTCTATCTTAATAGACACATTTTGATAGGTATCTATAATGTATAAATGTCAGTAATGTCTGAAAAATGATATTGTTGAATTCCTAAAAAGAAAAACCTATTCTGCTCAAAATGTTTCATATATATATATAT